TTAGTAGTAGTCTACTACGTAATAATAGTAGTTAAGTAAAGTTAAAGTTAAAATAAAAAGTAAATAATAATAATAGTATAGTAAGACTTATTTTAGTAGAATATATATATATATATATATATATATATATATATATATATTTAATTTTTTCATTATTGACCGGATTAGAACGGATGCATGGACTAATTATCGGTTAAGCTTCCGTGCTACGTCCGGTTAATCTTTCTGGTTCGATTTTGCCAAGCGATTTTGCGAAGAGAGAGTGGGATATAGATGGTTCGAGTGTGGGAGAAATAAATATGTACAAAAAAACGGTGTGGTCTTTCGTTCCACCTTGATTTCTCTATCTAGTCGAATCTTCGCGGAAGCCATGCGGAAGGTACCCGCTGTTTAGAGCGAGAAGAACGGTAGGTCTTGCTCCTCATCTGAGAATCCATGGTACTTAAGGAAGATGAGCCTTTGGTCATGTCATATGTGCATTCCTGTCATAGATCATCTCTGAAATGTAGACAAAAAGGATGACCTGTTTTCTATTCCTTCCTCTATGAAAAATCAATCTTATACAGACGGAAGTGCAAATCTTTCTTTCTGAGATACATTTACTCTCTCTCCGTTTATCTCTCCTTTTCCCTTTTCCAGAGGTCCGCATGACGAGCGCCTCTGAGCTCTTCTATATTAGAAGATCTCGCATAGGCCGAAAACCAGAGCTAGGGTTTGAAACTTCTTCTTCCTCCTCTCCTACTTACTCTAATTCTTCTTCCCATCATCATAGCCACCATCATAACCCTCATCATCGTCTTCACGATCATCGATGTCAAGGGGAATGTGATCCATTCAGGCGATCTCACTTACCTGCAAGGCATATTTTCCATGGTGTCTTGCAAAGAGTAAGATATATATTCGGTTGATGATGATTTTTTTGTTGACTTGTTTATTCTTGTGGTTTTTCTGTTAATTGTGTGAAGAATTCCAATGTTATGCGATTAGGGCATTTAAAGTTGATGAATTCCTCAGTGGAGTTTGGATCCCCAACTACGTGAATTGTTGTTTTGGTTTGTTTCTCATTGTTGATTCTTCTTTTTCTGTTATTTATGTTATGCTCATGGTTTGGTGTAATCGGGGAATTTGATTTAAATCCAGATTATCCCTTGGAAGAGCTTGATCTCCGCCTTGATTTGTGATTTTTGTTTTTGTTTATGTTCCTTTTCCCTTTTGGCAAAAGATCGTACTTTGAAATTAGTGAGAGTGGGCTTGGGTTTCAATTGGCGTTAAGTATTCAGTGTAGTGAAGGACCTGTTTGATTTTTCGAATGTTTTGATTCATACATGGTGTTCCTGAATTGGAGCTTCATCATTTGTTGACTTCTGTTTCTTCCTTTGTGCTTTTGGGGTTAGCAATTGCTTTAGACCTTATTCTACTCCCTGCTCCTCGTCATGATGGTAGAGTCTGCAGGAGATGATAATAAAGGAATGCATTTTAACTATACACAATAAGGCAGATTTCTTTTATTAACTGCTCCTTTACACGACATTGCAGATACCCTTCTTATTCCACTGCTAGCATTTGTGATGTTTTCTACTGGATTGGTTTCTGAAGTGCATCATTGCTTCTTTCTTCCCTCCTGATTTCTTAAGGGTTTTATCCATCATTTGGTCATCTTATGATGCCTTACATCACATGTGCATGGTGTTTCATCATAACATTAGACTTCTTACTTTGTCATCCAACTTTGGTTTTCTTATGTTTTCTAATTATATATTTCATCGTCATGATTTTTGCTATTGAGTTTACTTTTAATGTTTGGGAACATATAACCCTTTGTCAGAGAACATCAAGTAATAAAAAGGAATGTGTTGCCTATCCGACAAATCTCACATTTTGTATCATCAATTTATTAACTTTATCTTCTCTTTAATGGCCCTTCTATACATTATGTTTGTGGTATAATTGACCCTTCCGATTGGCATCTGCATAGAGTGTTTATAATAAAGGAGGCGCTCTACGACTGCTGTTTCTTAGAGCGTTTTGTACTTTGCTTGCTAGAGGTACCTTTTAACAAATAATAATAATAACGCTGTACAAGTTTTTTTTTTTTCTTTCTTATCTATTTGTCCTTTCTTTTTCTACCTAAAAAGGTCAATTTTTTTTTCCTAATACTGGATAATTGGACCTCATATTTATTGCCCAATATCAGTCTCACCACAATGACCAGATTGAACATATATTGCACACTGGTTGCTACTTCTAGGCATAGTTACAGGGAGTTCCTTCACTTGTTACGGTCCCCCTATTGGGACGCAGTTTTTGGAGATGGTCCTCTTTGGGAGCTTACTCCTGATTATAATTGGGGAAGGCTATTGTATTCCAAAAATAATCTTAGATTATATAATCTCACTCCTTTCCAGATCTCACACCTTTCCAGTTCAGCACATGCAAGAGCTTAAAATACGTGGTTGCTAATAGCCTTACTGATCCATCTTTGGTAAATGATTTCATCTTGTTAGCTCTAATCTATGAGGATGTATAGCTGCTTCAAGTGACTTTCTTCACTCCAATAAGTTTTGTGTTTTTATTCCTTTCATCTGCAGTCAATGCAAAAGTGATACCTCTGAATAGAATGTGTCCTGCCATTAACTTTTTAATTGCAACATCTGCAGAAGCATTTTAGGGAAAAATTGTAAATATCTAATTTCTACATCTTCCGCTCCTTATCCATCACTTCTAGAAGTAAATTTGCTTTTCTCTCATAGTATTTATTGATAGGAAAGTGAACCTACATATTCACATTTTATTGCACTTTAAAAATTACTGAAATATCTTTTATTCTTTTGTAATCTTTTCTCCATCTTATATTTCCATTGATAGAGAATTAACTTCATAAACCAAATCATAATGTTTATTGAACCTCTATGGGGCAACTTTGTTGCCTTTTTTTTTGAAGAAAATTTTTGTTGTCGTTTCTCTATTAAATTCAGAGTTCATTACTTCAAATTAATTTGGAACATGATAAGTATGACTCCTATGTCCCCTTCTTCCTAGAGAAAATCAAACGTCAAGTTTTATACTCCACATAACATATGGTTTACCCTCCATTAACCTAGAGTCGCAATGTCTAAGCTATGCCATTTTGTTTTTGTTTCAGACATTGCTTATAACAGCAGATTGTTTTTCCTTGCCAATACTTCTATTAATTTTTTTGCAGTTCCTCCTATCTCTAAGTATTTGGAGAACTTCATAATTTCATCCTTGAGAACTTGAAGAGGACCCATATATTTGGGTTGCATCCAGAAAGGCCTATTTGTATAATGAAAATTTATCAAGATACACCTAAGTTAACAACTATTTAACAGTTTTGCTATTTTCTAGTATTCCAACTCATGATCATGTGTATTTTGATGGGCTTTTGAAATTAAATCAAAAGATATGGGTAAAATACTAATTAGTTCATCTCTTACATGCATTTTGGATGAGCTTCCACTTCAATGATCCCATATGATAGCGGCCTTGGGAGGTTTCTTTGCTTGCTGGTCCATTTGCAGTTAGAAAAGGGAAAACCACCTTTTTTTGTGAGGTGGCTGAATAGCTGTTCCCCATTGGATTTTTATTTGATCGTATATCTGATATAGGGTGGTGAACCTATTGCCGATTTATTCGACGATTCTACTCCAAGCAGTGTTTGACAATCCTAAATTGCAGAATGTTAGAAAAGCATCGGCCTAATTTTCTCATTTGAGGTTAAAAAATAATTTTCAAATCCATGGGCATAGAATCATATTCACAACCTTGAAGTTTAGGAAGTCCTTAAGTTGTTTTCTTGGACGTTTGTACTATGAAATGTTCGTTCTCTTCTTTGTTTGATTTTTTTTGAGAATGTTAACGGTTAATATTATTATCAAACGACTACAAAAGTATGGCTCGAGAGGACCCACAGACCGGGTCACTCAAGCAAAAAATGGTCACTAAGAAGTGGACATGTACAAAAAGGTTGGCTAAAACAACACCCGAGAAGCAAATATTAAGAGTTATTCAGAGAGAGGGGCTCATAGAATACGCCCATTTACAAAAGAGAAAGCTGTGCAAAGGAGGAAGAAAAAGGCCACTCGCCGAGGTCCAGAGCAAAAAAGGAGATGGATCTATGACCAAACTTAGGAATGCATCCAAGTCACAGCTAAACGGGGGCTAAAGGCTGATTCCGAGCGGCTTCCTTAGCAAGACGATCTGCAAAGTCGTTTGACGTCCTCCAGATATGCATCCATGAGACTTCTATAACCCTGCAATTATGCTCCATGTCATAAAAAATGTGGGCTAGGTATCAAGGAGGAGAGGCCTTTCTAGAGGCCCAGGATCTAATGTTTTTGGCGCCTCCCTCAATGTGCAACTGTGAACCCCAGGAAGGGTTGTATTTCTTGATACCCATCAATAGGGCTATAGCCTCTGCAAACTGTGAGTCTGCGAGGCTAAGGTGTTCTGAGTAAGATGTGTGAATATCGCCATTATGGTAGCGGAAAAACCCTCCGGCTCCAGCTGGACCTGGGTTTCCCAGGGAGCATCCATCAAAATTTAGCTTAATGGATCCCACAGGGGGAGGCGTTCAGTTGGATCCTCTTGAGGTGCGATGAGGAGCGAGGTGAATAAGATTCTCCCAGTCGCAAAGGAAAGTGGCAGCCGAAGTCCCGACGAAAAGTCTATGACTGGATGCCCAAAAGATTACCAGCGAAGTAACCTTATGAAACATAGCTGGGAGTTCGCTTTTGGTTTGACAGAAAATTCTTGAATTTCTTTTGAGCCAAATTGTCCATAATGTTGCACCTAAAGAGGCTTTCCTGAGGATTCTGGCCGACTTCGGCCAATGAGAATCAAGAGCAGGATGTCAACATTGGAATAGGAGGGGTAACCCAAGAAACTCCAAAGAGTTGGATAATACGACTCTAGAGTTGAAGGGAAAGCTGACAATGAATGAACAAGTGAGGGTTCGTTTCTTCCTCGCAAAGGCACATGACTCACCTATTGGGAGTTTGGATACCTCTTCTTTGGAGTAAGTCAACGGTAAGAGTACGTTCAGTGCAAGTGATCCAGTGAAAGGCTTGCACTTTTGGAGCCGTGATGGAGGACCACACTTTGGATAATACAGGGTTCGGGTTGAGGGGGAACGTAGGCGGCAACAATCTCTTATAAAAGAGGCCATCGTAAAAGAGCCGGTGGGCGAGGGAGTCCAGGCCATTGTGTCTGTCCTCGAAATAGCAAGAAAAGTGGAGTGGAGGGATGCTGAGAGAGATGAGATCCATGGTTTCTTCTTCTGTGAGGGATTGCGTAAAGGATGGATTCCAAACCCTACGGTTACCGGAGAGAACCATTTCCTCTGAGATCAAAGAGGCTTTGTTAATTGCCACAGAGTAGAGAGAAGGGAAGAGATCTCTTTGTGGGGTGTGGCCTAACTAGAGATCGGACCAAAAGCGCACTCTAGCCCCTCTAGCATGAAAACGTACAAGTTGTTTGAACAGGTGGAGGGACAGAGCAAAGATTTCCAGGCACCAGAGCCCCTGGTCGTTGGATTGCCCTCAGGTAGCCAATGATCTGGTAGGATGCTGTATTTGCAACGGATAACTTGGGCCCAAAGCTGGCTGTTTTGGGTGGCCAGTCTCCTTCACCATTTACCCAGGAGCACGAGGTTGTATTTCCTTAGAACTCTGATTCCAAGACCACCTTGATGGTTCTGGAGACAGAGTTTGTCCCATGAGATGAGGTGGATCTCATTTGACGCAACATCACCTGACTAGAGGAAGTTCCTCATCAGTTGGTCTAGGCGCTTAGCAACCTAGGCTGGCATGTGGAATAAGGACATGAGGTAAACCGGGGAGTTGGCTAGGGTTACTTTGATAAGCGTAGT